TTTCCTGATTTTTGCGCTCAACTGTCCTTGGCACCTCATCTGTGAAGTGCAAGTGCTTCATGAAAAACAGCCAGCGTGACTTTTGGGACAGCATGGACGCGAATCTCCGCAGCTTGCGTGAGAAACTGGGAGGTGATGAGACAAAGATCAGCGAGTGCGTCACACTCTCGTATAACTTTACTCCGTGCACTGCTGATCTTCATCGCAGCTATTTTCGTGACACATTGGAGGATCGCCACATTCATGGTGTAGAAAACATGGCAGAATCGGCTTCGTTCCCTCGGACCACCAATGTGTGGCAACAGGAAATTGACGAGATTGTCAATAATGCCGATTAATGTAGTAGCAGCGTGACCTCCGCATATATATACCAAATAAACAACTAATTATCCACACATTTACTGCCTGTTGTGCACGAAATTGTACGGCGGCAAGAGGAAATCCGGTCCAGAAAAATTGACCGACTTATGTGCGAACTGCTAATGTTACACGGAATCCGCACATATGTGTTGCGGACGTACGCTCGGGCGTGTTGCAGACGTGAACTCATACGGTCCGAACGATGTCGGAATACTCCTGATTTTCAGACGCACTGACTCTTGAGATCAGACGCGCGGCTTCTGCTCTCCGCGAGCGCTTTTCACCTGGTTATCACCCGTGCGCAAGTTGGCGGTGTAGTGAGGCAATCTGAGACTCTGCGTACGCCAAAACCCCGCACGAGAGAAATTTGGAACTTTTTTGTTACAAAAAATATGCGAAAACAGCCTGAAAAAATAAGTAAGAAAATGCCATATTTTCCTCCCGGTATCCGGCAGCCCGGCGACTCGGCAACCCGGCAGCCGAGCCGATTGTCCGCCAGGCCATTGTCAAAGTGCCCGTGGCTGCGGCACCCGACGGACAATCAGCTCGGCTGCCAGGTTGCCGAGTTGCCGGGCCGCTGGATACCGGGAGGAAAAATATGGCATTTTCTTACTTATTTTTTCAGGCTGTTTTCGCATTTTTTTGTGACCAAAAAGTTCCAAATTTCTCTCGTGAGTCAACCCCCTGATATGCATTAGAACAACTCCAACAGCAGGATGCTCCATTCACAACTTAAGCCCAGGCTCCATGTAGTGCTTGTAGTAGGAAACCTGGTTGTCAGCCATATGACAAGCATACGAAGGCATCTCCTTCTGCAAAATAGACAGCAAGTCAATCTGTTTGTCCAGCGCAATCTTCTCATCCTCAGCTGTCTTCTTCAAGGTGAAGTAGCAGTTCTGAAGCTCAAGTGAGATATATCCCTTCTCTATGTACGGACTCTACTGCTCCAGTGAGTCAGAAGAGAGGTGAGAACAAAAGACCTGTTGTATAGCTAGCACGGCCTCTGCACATCGATCAAACTTCTCCATGCCAAGCCCAGTAAGTCTGATGTATTGTTTAGTACGCAGAGGTTTTTTGGGAACTCTGCAAAATGCAATCAGTGAGTTCGCACTTCACAAACACGCTTTCAAGCCATATACTGATGTTTCAACAAGATAGATGGAAGTTGACTCTCCACGAGATAACCCTGGAGGCTTAAAACAACCGTTTTATAAATACCATCTGAGTCAGCTGGCCACACCAAGTCCACATGCTCTTGATTCTTTCTAGACAGCATGGTAGTTGACACTCTGGCCTTGTCAACCTGCATAAGCAATGGTAAGATATGCACAAATATGTCAGAATGCCAACACTTTACCTTTGCCATCTCACTTAGATGGCCGATGGCCACCTGACTTTCACCAACTTCCTTCACTAATGCTTCAAGCTTTGTGGCTATTGCACACAGATTAGCCAATTTCTGCATGAAGTACTACTAGCACACATACCATACTCATTCCTTCTATTGTATAGAAAAGTGGCAGTCATCTCTTTAGAATTCAATGTTGATGTTGGCCGGAAGTGTGTGGAGTGGGATTAGAGCATGTGATGTGGAAGCAACGTAAAAAAGCAAAGAGAGTAGCCTTACAATTGCCACTTCACAGATTTAATCATGCGTCCAACACAGCATTTAATAAACTGTACAATATTATATGTTTTTAATTATTCTCCAATTTATTCCGGATGTTTCATATTTATATAAGACTGGCTAGCATGTCGGCAGTTCACAAGAGACCTCACTCTTTTACCTCTACTTGAACACAAACACCTTACTCTTTGTTAGCCAATATGCCGTTCTCTCAGCACTCTTCTGTCTCCAAACATGGAGCCACCACTACCAGGTAAGAATTTATCCAGTTCTGTTGCTCAATGCCTGTCTGATGCTCTGAAATATGTTAGACGTGGCTGTGGCCATGGTGGGGCTACGGAGGGCACTCAGCATGCTAGCAAAATGCTCAAGAAGATAGAAGAAGAGCTGGCCAAGTCTAGCAGTGACATTGAAGAGTAAGCATGCATGACCTTCTCACAACACCCTCAATGACTAATAAACTCCATCTAATAGGCCAGACAATTTGCCTGCCTCTAAAAAACCAACAAAGTCCAGATCCAAGCAAGATGATGCCAACTTTTTTCTCAACTCTGATTCTGATGGCAAAGAGATTAAGAAGAAGGCAGCCAAGAAGCCTTCAAAGTCTCTGTCTCACTCTAAGTCTTCTGCTCCTACCAAGTAAGCTATACATATTACTTCGAGCTAGTTCTATTCTTATGTGCCAGCAGAAGAAATATAGAGAAGGAGGAGAAAGAGGAGGAGGAGGAGAAAGAGAAAGAAGACGGAGATTAAGAAGAAAGGAGTGAGGAGGAGGAAAAACTCGAAGAGGAGGTTGCAGAGAAGCCAGCAAAGCGTTGAGGTCATCCTCTCAAGTCCAAGAGAAAGAGCAACTCCCTCACAAAAGCAAAGCTGTTGTGAACTAACATTGACGCAGCACGAGGAATGACTAAGTGGATCCAACAAAAGGTGGCACAAAGCGTGGTCTTGCAACGATTGTGCTGACTTGTTCAGCTAGCCCAATAACCAAGTATTCATTAGTAAGTATACTACAATACAAACAAAGGCTTACCTAGCCCAATAACCAAAAGGTTGAGATGGAGGCTAGATAGCAACAAAAGAAGTTTTTATATACTGTTTAGACCGTGCACGGACCAGGCACTACCTAAGCAACTGTAGCTACGGTGTCTGCTGGTATATAGAGGACTCGGCAGGAGAAACGGAACCAATGTGTCATGGCATTTGATGTTGTCAGGCCAACGGAGATTGGATGTCTGTTGCCAATCGGACTCAGGAATAGAAGGTCTGATGGAGATTGAAGTGCAGCAGTTGCCAAGGAAGCATAATGCGGCAACAAGGCGGCAGCAATGCAGGCGCATTTTGATGCGCTTGATGTGTGCATGTCGGTGATGCATTCCTGAAGTGTTAGCGCATGGCTAGGATTTATAAACTGGCGCCAATGCACTGACGATGTTTGGAGGGTCGTACAAACATGGAATAAATCAGAGAAAATGGAAAAATAATAGAAGGCTGGGGCTACGCCCACGACAGAACTGCAGGTGAGTCAGTGAAGTTGTGCTCTAATGAGTCAATCAATATCATACTATCAGACTGGAGTCAGAGATGAAAAAGGAAAAGATATTCCACGCTACCATGTCCATCATAACATTACCCCCCAATCTACCTTCAAGCGATGATTGAAATTAGTTCAGAGCCTAGATCTTCTCTTGAACTTGCACAACTGCCTGCTCGAGGGCATTCTTGATGACTATGAGTGGCTTTGCCTGCTTGCTGCGGTGTTTGCATTCATGTTTTTGTTGCCTCTATGTAGCCTTCTGAGGAGTCATCTAATCCGAGAGAGTGCTGGAAGACAGACATTCAGCTGGAATTAACAAGGTTGGAGAATTTGTTGTGGGAGGTGAACTGAACTGACTTCTTGGTGGAGATGTGGCTATTGGACTCATACAATGGGAGAGATTGTGAGTTTGGCAAAGGTGAGGTGTCTCAAAAGGACCAAAAAGGCTGGTCTGACAATGGGAACATGATGTGCTCTGTGAGAGGTTGAGAGTAGATAGGAGTCTGTGACAGCATGGATTTGAAGTCATTAAATATGTAGGCAAAGTGAATTGAGGGGCCAAATTGATAGTGATGGGCAAAGTTGACAATATGAGCCGCAGGCAGATCCATCTCCGAGTAATTAGCAAAATCCCTCCATGTCTCTACATGTTCTGTGTCTGTCCTTCTGATCTGTGTTCTGAGCATCACAAGTGTTGTGTTGTCAGTATGAACCAGGTCCACAGTGTTGCAATGAGTGTTGATGAAATTTTTGTTGAGAGCATGAAAGCTTGCCATAGTTCTTGCAAATATCTTTGTGGCATTGTCCTCTTTCTTCACAAGTTGTAGAAGGAGCTTGACGGCACTGTAGTTGTTGCAAATCTCAGTAATTCACTCAAAGTAAGTGGTTTTGCAGTATTTCTGCTTGACTTCTTCTGTGCTTGCATTGCTCCAGTCACACAGAGAGACTGAGCTCTTGTTGACAGAGATGGTGCTTTCATGGGAGATTAGAGTGGGGGTGCGGGAGTGAGCAATCCCAGAGGCATGATAAGAGTTATTGTCCGAGACGTCTGCATTGTAGATGAACTGAATGTCAGGGAGGTTGTTGGAAGAGTCTCAGATACGAATCTGCGAGGTGGATTTAGTGAGTGTTGACAGGGATATGTTCAAAAATAGTGGCAAAGGTGGACAACATTGTGTTGCAGAGAGGCAAGACTGGTTTGAAGACTTGAGACTGATTATAGCTGCAACTGAAGTTGTCTTGGCTAGCGAACAAATAGGCAAATTGTGCCTTTTTTATATGTGTTCAGAATATCTTGGGCATTCTTCAAATGAGACTCAGGTTTCCATGAGTTCTCTGCCCGTGACTGTTTTTTCCACTTGATGAGATATTGGACATAGCCAAATGAGGTCTTGTAATTAAGTATCACCTCAACTTCATACTCTTTATGGCCATCAATGATCTCTGGGGGCTGTTCTATGAAATTGGGGCTGTGTTGCTTGGTTTTATGATATGGAGTGAGAAGTGAGACATAGAAGACATCATGAAGTTTTTGCTGCTTTTGAAAATCGAGCTTGTATACCAAAGGCCCTAAAACTTCCTTGATTCTAAATGGTCCCTAACATTTGGATGCAAGTTTCTTGAAGGAATAACCATCTTGGAAGTGTGTCATCTCAAGCCAGACCTTCTGACCTTTCTGAAACAGTGAAAACTTCCTGTAATGCTCTGCTTGAATAAGGTAGGACTTTTACAAATAGTGCCTCTAACCATTTCATTCCAGAAGTTCAGCTCAAGGTTTGTTTCAAAGGTTTCTAAGGTGATTTTGTCTAAGAAAGTGCCAGTAGAAGCCATCAAAAGGTAGTAAGCAAGGTAAAAGATCAGGGGCAAGTCAAATCTTTATGAAAACTTGGAGAAGTTACACTTGTGAAGTATGTTGTAAGCAGAGATGATGGTGGTTAAGGTGAAAGAAGTGTATGAGGTGTACTTACTCCTTCTTTCAGTTGGGTCTAAGGTGGCAGATTGCGCATTTTCAGAAAGCAGTTGTCTTGTTGGGTAGAAGTTGAGAGTTTAATTCTAGCTGGAGGATTTTTTTTATCTCAATGAATTTTAGTTTTGAAGGCTAAGATAAAGTGATATTGTGGCAGATATTATAACTATATATATTTATAAGATATATATGGGTGTTCTGAGATAGCAGAATGGAGTAGAACAGCCATTAAGTGTGGTAGCTTGAAGAGTTAAATTTTATGCACAAGATCATGACTATATGCTTGATTATGGGCTTATATGTTTAAATATGCACAATACAGTAGCCTAATACTTGCAAGGTATAGTAAAGGAGACTCCTAGAATATCTGTGTAAATTATGGACAAGTATTGATCTGTAGAGAGGAGTAAGAGCAATGAATGCATAGAACATTTTCAACAATTCCAAATAAGTTTGAATAATTCCACATATATTTTCCATAGTGCTAGATAGTATGAACAATAGATTTACGGGATATCAAGTGATTATAGCCTCTACCGAGTTCACAATGCATTGTGCAGCACTGTGCACTAAGCTTTAAACCTAGTAGTCAGCATTTTATCACTAAACCATGATCTCAAACCATTCTCATATTAAGTACACAGTTAGTATGTATATAGCAGATCCTATGCTACATGGTATGAATGGACAAAAATATGTGAGAAAGAGTAGAAGTGATGAAGAGGGCAGAATGTGCAGTGGCGCTTATAGGGCGCTTAATCTGGCGTTTTCTCGCACTTTGTTCTCTTTGGTTCACTCCTTTAAACAATTAATTTGGCATATGTTCTTACATATTCTGGACCCTCTCAACTTGCTCTATCTGGTGGTATAAATATTATCTAGATGTTGTGTCTTTTGAAAGTGGTCTATTTGTGAAATTTGTTCAAGTCCTGAGCTCAAGCACAAAACACAGTGCTGAAGACACGAGAGAAATTTGAAACTTTTTTATCACAAAAAATATGCAAAAACAGCTTGAAAAAATAAGTAAGAAAATGTCATATTTTCCGCTTGGTATCCGGCAGTCCAGCAACTCGGCAATCCAGCAGCCGAGCCGAATATTGTCTGAGTGCCGCTGTCTCCAGGCACTTTAGTAAATGGCCTAGCAGACAATCAACTCGGCTGCCGGATATCGAGAGAAAAAATATGACCTTTCCATACTTATTTTTTCAAGCTGTTTTTGCATATTTTCTGTGACCAAAAAAATTTCAAATTTCTCTCGTAAGAGCCAAAACTGATTCATATGTGATCAAACAAACTTTCACATGTAGATCTATATTAGAAGTATATTTGACCCAAGATTTAGGTCAATAGCTTAAGCATAGCAAGCTGTAGAGTGAGGAGCAGGTTTGCATTAAAAAGTGAACTGACTCCCAAAGTGCTACTTCCAACAGAACATTTCTTCCTTACATTCAGAAATTGTAATCGAAGCATTGTCCTTTGCAGTGGGTTTTGTCTCAAGAGATGGCATTGACATTCATGGCATTAGGATTGCGTTTCTGAGTTCTTCCTCCTCCTTCTCCATTTCCTCCAGAATGAGATGTAGTTCTATTGACTCTTTCTCTTTGTCTTCCTTGTCTGAGCTTGTTCCATTTTATCTCTGCATTGTCCAACTTGAGTGCTTCTTCTTGCCATCCTTGGAGTGTGGTAGATTTTTTCTCTCACTTGATGAGAGTTTTAGTAAGATCAGCTTTGAGTTCTCCTGTATAGGTGCGTTGGAGGTGGATATCTGTACTTGGATTGCCATATTTGGCTTTTTTGACAAGTCAATTAAATTTGATGTTGTAGTTGTTGACAAAGTTGAAGTCTGGTTGCATTATTCTGTTGAGTTCTATAATGGTGTCAACTTTGCTATCCACTTTTTGGAAGGCTTTGGCAAAATCTTCCTTGAATTTGGCCCATGTAGGCCGTGTCGTGCTGGCTTCATATTTGTCGAATTTGGTGTGATATCAGTTATGTGACTTCTTTTTGGTGTTGTTGAGTACAAAGAGAATTTTCTTTGCATTTTTGGTCATGTCTTTGCCTTTAAAGTAGATGTCGCAATCTTTCAGGAAGTCCTGAATATATTGTGTGCCATTGAATTTCTAAGGCTTTGGGGTAGAGGTATGTTCATTTGCTTTTTAAAGCATTCCAATCATTTCTCACATGAGGGTATTTATGTTCATCATTGTGGAGGTGATCTGAAGTTGTTTGATAACTTCATATATTTCTTCCTGT